ATGATGTTCCAGCCTCAGGTGATAGCTCAACCTCTGATCCATATTCTACACCAAAGCTGGCCAGTCATGTTAAAGCGATATATTTTCGGGAAGAGTCAACTAGGGTTTGGTTTTACAAGGCTCAAGGGATGAACATGTGAACTCTTCAGTCTGTTCTACCTTTTGGTAGATACCTAATACTTCGACATGTGTTGCGAATGATGCCATTATCCATTGGGTAATATCTCTAACCAGATGCTAGTCTCCAACGTCTCTCTTGGCATACATACTCACTAAGTTTGATGTTGTTCAAACCTCTAATTACTTTTTCTCTACCTTTATAAAAGGAAGATGAAGACTTGAATGAAGGTTATAACATCACAATACATTATAAACTATTGGCATAACTATTAGTTTTTAGTTTTTGTATTCCTTATTGCATAAGATCTTAAGATTTCTTACCTTAGATTATCTTAGAAATCTTAGAAAGGTTGAAAACCTTTGTGATTGTTGCATAACTGTTATACTTCTGATTGTGTATCAAAGTATAGTAGTTACCTTTTCTACTAAACAATTTATTTAAAGTAGAGGTACTCTCTAGCCCGTGTGCTTGAGCATTAAAGTCCCTTGTCTGTGTACTTGAGTAAGTGAATTCTCTTTCTAGGTTGATTGAGTAGAAGTCTCTTGCAAGGTTGCTTGAGTAGAAGTCTCTTTGTAGGTTGATTGAGCACTAAAGTCTCTTGCAAGTATGCTTGAGCAATTGTAATCTATTTGGTTGTAGTGAAAAGCTCTTGTTGAGGCAAGTGGATTGGATTATTCTCAGTTGAGGAGAAGAACCAAGATAGTCTTTTTGTGTTGCTTGCATTTACTTCTGAACACTTTATTTCCGCTGCTATTATTTGATCTGATATTAGATTTTGAACGTGGTTCAAATTCTTAAGCTTCTGTTTCAGAAGTAAATTGATTTTTTAGAAAACACAGTTCAACCCCACTTCTTATGTATTTTTCTCACCTTCAGTGATAACACTGACAGATGAACAAGTCGGATCCGTCTAGGACACCATATGGATAGTAATAAGAGATGGTTACCAAATGTCCCCATGATTGCATGGGAGTTACATATATTTATGGAAAAGATGACGTCAGATAATTACAGAGGGCGGTAGACATTATCAAGATCCACCTTAATGAGGGATGTGAAGAGGCATGCCTTTAAGGATCATTGATGAGTCTAGTAGTATAAAAGAGAACTTATTCCATGAATAAAAGTACAACTACTAAACCCTCCTAATTATATAGGAAGATTGCGGTCTCTCCTGAATAGCTTCATGGAGATTTCTCTAAATAGTGTTTAGAAAGAACACTCTCTTTTTGAGTTGGAGCTTGGTTGGAAGAAGATTAAGAATGAGTCTCCAACAAAAGCATTTCACATTAAAAGGAATTTTTGTTTTCCAGTTAATAGTCAACGTCTGTAAAAATTTTTCAGAACAACAAAGGCCTTGGTTTTCTAAAATAGAAAGAATCAAATAAGAATTGTCAACAGAGTAATCAGTGCAAACTTTCCACCACACGAAATTATCACAAAGATTTTTCAGAAAGATGTACTTAAGCAAGGATTGTGAGATATTCATCGAGCTAAAAAGATTTAATCCAGTTTAGAGGAAACAATGATAGAGCCAAATTCCAGCAACCATGATTATTCAAATCTGCAATCTTTACATTACGTAATGCGATAATGAGAAATAAGTCAGGAAACTAAACGCCAAGAGTCGTAGGACCTAGCAAAATGTTTTTTTTCCAAAATCCACTACCGTTACCAATTTTGTAGCCAATAAAATTAGAGAACCAATTAACATTGAATCATAAATTGTGACAAACAAGAGATCTCTCCACCAGATGGAGTCATGTTTGATAGAAGAATAATGATCCAGGCTAAGGATTTTAGAAGTGAGGTCTCCATACCTGAACCAAAGAAGAGAATTTCAAATTGGATTGTGATTATCATGGATACGCCAAAGCCATTTGCTTAAGATGGTTGCGCTAAATCTTCTAATATGTTTTACTCTTAGGCCTCATTGATTTTTGGATTTACAGATGTTGTCCTAACTAATCCAAGCAAGTTTTCTACCATCATCGGGGCCACCCTAAAGAAAGTTTATATGAATTTGAATTAATTCTTTGATAAAGGCATTAGAAGCTTTCAAGAATGAAAAGTTGTACAAGGGCATGTTTGTTAAAATAGAATTTAATAGTACAATCCTTCCACCAAGAGACATTTTCTTAATATGCTAAGAAGAGAGTTTTTCTTGGAGTTTGGATCTAAATGAATTCCAACTTGATTTTGTTCGAGGACACGAACCCACACTGATACCAAGGAAGTTGAAAGGAATGATTCCTATATCACAAAAGAGAAAAGAATATGAAACTTGGATGAAATCGTCTTCCAAGTTCAAAGCGTAAACATTGCTTTTGGATAAATTGACACATAATCCCAAAGCAAGTTCAAATCCCCTTAAAATAGACTTACGGCTCCAAAGGTTGTTCCATTCTCCATCACAAAAAAACTATTGTCTCGTATACGAACTGCAATAGGTCAAACTAAAAAAAAACTATTGTCTCGTATGCGAACTGCAATAGGTCAAACTTGATTTTTTCACTGACATGAAACCCTTGAAACTCATTGACGGAGGCTACATTCTAAAACAGGCCTTCTACTGCAAGAAGAAAGAGGAACAGAGAAAGAAGGTCTCCTTGCTTGAGACCTCTCTCAATTCTGAAATGATCGGTAGGTAAGCCATTGGAAAGAACTAACAATGAACTATTGAAAACCAAATCATCCATCCAATGAAGCCATTTGGTTCCAAAACCTATTCTAGTCACAATGTAGTTGAGATATCTCCACGAAACACAATCAAAAGCTTTTTGGAAGTCCACTTTCATAATTAAGCATTTCTTCTTAAATCTCTTAGCAAAATCAAGGATTTCGTTCACTACTAAAACACCATTCTGGATGTGTATTGATATAGGCGACGTGTTTGTAGGGATTGTTGCACCCATCAAATGTGGCCAAGGAGGGAGGTTTGAAACCCTCGGGATAAGGCATCCCCCATATCTCGTCTAAGAGTGGCTAAGGATCCAAACTGTTTTGTCTCCTCTTGGGGATTAGATTCTCATTGGCGTCGTATGATGTTGCATGTGTCGTCCTCAAGCATATGGTTATAGCGATGTAATTCATCCATGGAAGCACACATCTCCGCTAGGGCATCGATATCACCACTAACCCTGGTACCTTATGGCATAGTGATGGATCTCTCATGTTAACCATGGCTAAAAATGGCTAGGTGCAAGAGTGAAAGGTAACAATGAGCGAGGTGATGGTAATGAAGATGGTGTGGCTCATGTTAGTTTTACCTGGGCCTTACACTAGGCAACACTGTATTAGTAAAAAAGTACATGTGTGTGTGTGTTCCTCCTACAAGAACAGAGGGACTCAGAGGTCCAGTAGGTATATTACGCTGTATGGTGGTTAGAACTTGCCCACGACGGGGAAAAGCCTGGTATGACGGTGTTTTATGGTGGTTTAAGAGTCATACACTTGAGGTGAGAGACTCTGGATGGACGATATGCTTAGGTATAAGCTGATGAAGGGTATGATCAATATGAGTTATGATCAAGTTAAGCATTATGCTTTTTGGGCGTAATGACCTGTCTGACTTAATATTTGTCCCTTTTGCCTTGAGAGGAGGAATATTTATAGAAACCCTTTGGGCACAGGATTTGGGTGACCCTAAGTGACGACATCTGCTCCCTCCTGATCAAGAGATATTTTTTACCACCTATCCTTCAGAAGATAATGGAGGTAGGAGTGACAAACGAGCATGTCCGCCCCATAAAAGCCTACAAAAAATGGAATGGGGTGGGTTAGTCATAGTTGAACATGCGGGCTTAAAATCTATGCCCGCCCCGCAAAAAAATGAGGACGGGGCGGAGAAAGTCTGCGAGCATTGAACCTTATAAGCATAAGAACACGAAAGTTTATGTAAATGTTCGTGCCCACAAAAGCCTGTAAAAAAAGTGAGATAGAACTTGAGAGACACATTAGAGAGCAAAAGTCTAAATTCTTGACCCGTCCCACACTAAAGTGCGGGAAAAACAAACGTCCAACAGACCGAATCAATTTTGACACTCTTAAATGGAGGACTTTTTCTCCTTTAACTAATGTCATTACCCATTATTAATGCCCAAGATAAATCCTTAAGTTATCTTGGCGATACGTCCTTTTAAACATTTAAACATATAAGTGTTCTTTTTCTAAAGATTTAAAAAAAAACCTTTTAAACATTTAAACATATAAGTGTTCTTTTTCTAAAGATTTAAAAAAAAAAAAACTATCATCTAATGTTTAAAAGTGAATAGTGAATCAGGTTTCAAACCCACATTTCAATATAGCAAATGTCTTACTTCCATTTACCACCTGTGTTGTATTTATGTGACAAATACATGAGTGTTTTGATACTATGCTGTTATAAACAAAATACAAAAGTTTTATTTTTGATTTTTATATAAAATATTAATTTTCATACAATATCAATATAAAATATTTTATATTATCAACAAATTATAACAAATAACGTATCAAACGTATCAAAGTGATTTAAAAGTGATTATGGTAAAAATTAAAAATATAATGCATCAAAGTGATTTAAAAGTGATTATGATAAAAAACTAAATATTTTATTGATCTTATATTGATGAGATTGTATGAAATAAATCCTATTTTTTCTTTTGTTAAAAATGATGTAATAATGAACTGTGATACTTCGCTCTCCTTACAAATTATTTTAGATTTTTTTGCTTATGAATTTTTACTTACCAATTATTAATAACCTTACACAATACATTTTTTTTTTATAATTGTATATTTTATGCGTTATCACATGAATAAAGTTATACATATAAAAAAAAAAAGCGGGCCGATATAAGATATCTAGTATAAGTATATCTAAGATTTTCACTGTTCTTCATGCTGCGGGAATTGCAGGATACTTTACCACATCTAGACGTAGTAAAAATGGATAAGACATGGAGCCACAATATATATAATTATCAACTTTAATCCCACTTGAAATCAGTGATAATTGAGGATCATAATAATGATTTGTTAGTTTTCCTGCCAAATCTACGACCATAACTCCTCCACGCATCTCTAGTTTTGGCCTTGTAAAATACTTGCTAACAATTGCTGCAGTTTTCCGTATGAAAGGATATCTTAATAATAAATAGCATTGAGGAGTACTTATCGACTGTCATTAAAACACATAAAAATATTTATCAGAAAAATGGATAAATAATAGATGAATAAGCGAAATGCAGCGGATTCAAACCACATATTTTTGTATAATTGATGTCAAGGCACAATTACCTATTCATCTGTAATGCTGCATAATGATATTAAATTAAAGAGTAAAGTTAATTAATAATAATGTTACCGTAACCATTCCAATAAAATATTGGCCTTGTCCAACATAATGAATATTATCTGGCATGCCGGGAAGATCAGGACAAAATTCGCCTATTCTTCCTTTTTTGGGACCTCGAAGGTATATTTTTCTGCACCTTTTCCTGTAGAATATGAAGTTTCAAATTTAAGTACTATATAATACTCATCATAGTTCTAAATTGCAGACCTCATCACGTGATGCGGCTGCTATGGTTTTAAATTGTTGCTCCGAATGCCGTTGTGCTTGTAGCTGTTGGCGTTGTGGTTATTACGGATATTGCGAGCAGATAACCGTCGTTGTTGTGCCGTGAATTTATTTTTTATCCACATAAAAATAATATGTTTTATTACTTAGATTAGGTTTTGCATGTCTTTAATTTCTTCTCTACATCTTTATATATATTTCTTTAACAATTCACCATCAGTTTGAATCTCTCTAATTCTTAAAACATATCTTTAATATATGATATAAATAGGAAGGAAGGTATGATAAGTATTTTTTTTAAGTAATGCGTAATATATTGCAGGCTGATGAGATCCAATGCAGACAAATGCAGTTGTTACAGTGTTATGATGTGGTTGTTGTGGCGTTATGATGCAGTTTTTAGTGTGATTTACAATCACATCACAACCGCGGCTTGACACAGATGCAGACGCTACCGCAACCACAATATTACGGTCGTATCAGGTGATGCAGTCAGCAATTTAAAATTATATTGCAGTCGCGGTAGTGTCCGCATCCGTATCAAGCCGCAATTGCGATGTAATTGTAAATTACAATAAAAACTGCATCATAACGTCGAAACAACCGCATCATAACATCGCAACAGCTACGTCAACCTGTATCAAATTGTTTGATCACAAAAGATTATGCTCGCAAAAACTATCTACTCTATTTTTCTTCCTATTTATATCATAAATTTAAGATATATTTTAAAAAAATTTAATATATTTAAAATACTAAAAAATTAGTAATATAATATATAAGTTTAAAGATAATGTATTCTCACCGTAAGAGATTTTTATACATGTAAGAATTAAAATGTTTATAATTGACATGTAATATTAATATTTTTAAAATAAAAATATATTTTATTCTGATATATATTTCTGTAATATATATACAAATTTATAAAAGAAATAAAAGATATGTAAAATATAAAATAATTAATAAACTATAATATTTTATATTTATAAAATTTAAATTCACGCCACAACCGCAATCCACCGTACGTCCACTAATATCATTGTCATCCATACATCTATGATCTATCTATCTAAAGCAAAAGAATAAAATGATATCTACTATGAATATTTTATAATAAAATATGCAATAAAATACTTACAAAATAGTCTCACAGTAGACAACAAATTTTTGATCTGGTGCAACAGCAACTCCATTAGCAAAGTAGAGATTACGTGCAAGCAATTCCACTTTTTTTGTTGCTGGATTATAGCTCATGAATCTCCCATGAGGTTTACCTTCCGCAATATCAAAAATGAAATCCTTCAAACTGTATTTGTATGTAGCGTCTGTAAAATAAATTGTTCCATCTTCACCTACGTCAACTCCATCTGTTAAATTGAATTTCAATCCTTCATGTTCATTAGCCAGAACTTCAACCTTGGGTTTCTTTCCGTTTTCTGTCACTCTCAATAGCCCCTTCATCATTGATATTAATATTATTGCCGGTGGAAATGCAACACTAATGAGAACAGTTAAACTTATAAGAATCCTAAATTTTATAATACTAGTACATGTCTAATCTTTAAAATTACTGTGACTTGTGGAAATGTTTTTTCTTTTTTATGGTAAAGATAATGTTATTCACTATTTTTTTATTATAAAAAATAAATTATGATTAATTCAGACTACTTATCGCGACACCTAATTATACTATAGCATAATGTATAGAGATTCCATTTCGTGACTTACCAAATCAGCGTCAGCAACTATGAGTTCACCGGTTTTTTCCCAAGCAAGTCCAAGTGGTCTTCCACCGGTGTTAACCCAGTTTTTAACAACCGAGTCAGCCCCCGATTTGTTCACCGTGATTCGCTTGATCCACCCGTCCTTGCAACCAGTGTAGATGAGACGGTTCCTCTTATCATAAGCCAGGTCTTCAGGTCCATCTACTTTTCCTTCCACTAGAACTTCCGAACCAACCCGCATGCGCGGGTTGACAGCTAGAGCTGTTCCGGTTCGTCGAGGTAATTCCCTGGATGGAAAGTGAACCGGTTTGAATGGTTCGAGTAGGTAGAGAACCGCAGCTAAGGCTACTGGGAAAACTATAGGTAATAAGGTTGTTGAAAGACATGATCGTGTTTGTTTTCTTTGAAGTTGTGGGGAAGAAAAGGCAGCGCTTGATTCTGACATTGTGGTTTTGAGGGACACTAATTGGAAGTTGGAATAAGATAAAATGCAATGCATTTAAATTGAAGTCAAATAGTCCATACAAGGAGAAGATGTGCGTGGGATGGATGAACATGTGTCATAGAAATTTTCATAAGCATATATAATACATAATTTAGAAGTGAAAAATGTTACAAGTTGTAATTCATTGGTCTCTAGAATAAGCTCTATTTGTATTTGATTGAGATGTGTTTAATTTGGATTTGGATCCTCTTTTTTTTTATATATATTATGTCATGTCTTATGTTTCTAATCTAACGGTTCAGAATTTATAATAAATAATTAAATAACAAAGACAAAAATAACAAAGACAAATTACTTATCCATTTCTCTCTCCTATTAAATGACTTTTTTTATTTAATTATTCATTATAAATTCTGAACCGTTAGATTAAAAACATGAGAAATGACATGATATATAAAAAAGGAGAGGATCCAAATCCGTTTAATTTAGTCGAAATAGACGTTACTTGTATTCAATAAAGTTTAATACAACATACATATGTTGTGTCGAAGTTAAAATGTAACTTTGTATATTTTAGACTTGAGTCGTATGTTTTGGCTTTAAGCCTTGATCGTCTATAAATAGGCATGATGTTGTATAATTTTAAACAATTAACAGTTTAACAAGTTTATAAGTTTTAAAATAGTTTTATTTTAATTCTCTCGTATCTCTTTCTTGGTTCTTCTTCATTCTTCTTCTTGAAATTCTAATTGTTCCATTTATTTCAACAAATTGATATTAATGACACTACAAAAAAAAAATTATATATAGCCACGTGATATTCACGTCACAACATGTTTTTAACGGCGCGAATTTTCATGCAGCAAGAGCACCTGTAGTAACTCTGTTGTGTCGCGAAAATCGCGTAGCAACTTTGTCACGTAAAAATCACGTCACAACAGTTTGCCACGTGATATTCATGACACAACATTCTGCACAGATTTCTCACCTTTACTCGCTATAATTCAAGAGAAGCAAAGATAACATAGTAGGTTACAGTGAATTGCGACGTGATTTTTACGTGGCAAAGTTGTGAAGAGTAAATCAAGTCACAAAAGTTAAAAGAAGTCGCGACATGATTTTCACGTGGTAAATTTGTGAAGTGAAAATCACGTCACATAACATTTTGTTTTAAGAATAAAAAACTATAACTATTGTTGACATATTTTATAATATATATTAAAATTAATAATAATTTTTTAAAATATAAATAAATAAAAAATTAATAATAATTTTTTTTAGTTTTAAATATAAATAGCTAAATTACAGTTTTGGTTCCCCTATTTTGTCTGATTCAAGAAATTAGCCCTCCTATTTTAAATTTAAACAGTTTTGATTCCTCTATTTTAAATTCAAACAGTTTTAGTCTCCCTCTTAATTTTTTTCATAGAAAATTGATGAAAATTTTCTATTTTAACTTATATTTTTATCTACAAAGTTTAATAAAAGGTTTATATATCATTATTTGTTATGTTTTAATTTAAAATAGGAGGACTAATTTCGTAAATCAAGTAAAATAAGGAGAACAAAACTGTAATTAATTCTAATATTTATGTCAGTAAACTTTGATAGACTTTTAGTACAAATGAACATAACACTTATGATTGTAGGTTGTTTCAGATTTTAACATTACGTAATACCCAATTACATGTTATCATCTTTTTGAGTTTGATGTGTGGATTTAAACGGTGGACTGTCCAAAATCTGATCGATAAACTTTGATACCATATTAGAGTTTGACCTAACACAACTTTACAAAATCAGTTGGTAAGATGAAAAGTGTCACACTATACAAACTATTTTAATGCTTTATCTCCAACCAATATGAGACTTTAGGATCTTATGTTCGATAACAAATCTTTAATCCTAAACCGTATTTTTGGTAGTTGGCTTGGACGGCTATGATGTTAGACTGTTAGATAGAAGGTGCGGAAAAAACATGTGATTGTTTTCATTTTTTTTTTAAAATTTATTTAAAAAAGACACCTTCGTGGAATTGTTTGAACCATAAATCAATCTGAATCCAAACGTGGGACCTCTCAAAAGATATTTAACAAAACTATGTGACATCATCTATAATAAAGACAAATTTACATTTTCCAGAAAAGCAAGATCTAGATCTAGCATATATAGCAAAGTGTAGATTTAGAAGTTCATACCAAACTTCAGTCTAAGAATCTCACTGCTATGGAAACACCTTTAATAATTAGAAGCTTCACTTCAGAAAATGATTATTTAGCAGTGAAAAGCTTGAAGTATTTGAAACATGTTTTGTGGAGTGAAACATTGAAAATATGGAAGATAGCAATTCCAGTGGCTTTGTCTTTACTTTTTCAGTTTCTCAATAACTCTTCAACTTCCATCTATGCTGGTCATCTTGGAGACATTCAACTATCTTCTTTCTCTATCTATCAATCTGTCATCGCTTCTATTTATTTCGCTTTGCTGGTTAGTTACACACTCACTCTCATTCATCCAATGTTTTATCTTTTCTTTTGACTTATTTTTTAACTTGTTGTCCACAGATATTGAATCTTATACTAAAAGTTTACATTCATTTAGTTCAACTAGCACTTACCAGTTGATTTTTGAAAACTAGATAGAGTTGTGAAATCTACTAATGTAAAATTGCAGTATGGTATGTCAAATGCAATAACAACACTATGTGGGCAAGCTTATGGGGCAGGACAGTTTCAAAATGCTGGTATTTACCTTCAAAGGTCATGGATTCTACTCATAACCACTTGCATACTTTTGTTACCATTTCATATATTTGCAACTCCAATCTTGAAACTTCTTGGCCAAGAAAAAGAAATTGCGGAACTAGCTGGAAAATATGCAATTCTAGTTGTTCCGAATATGTTTTCCTATGCTATTAATTTACCTCTCATGAAATATCTTCAATCACAAAGCAAAGTTAATGTTATTATGTACTTAGCAATTGTTACATTGCTAACACAAAATGGTTTACTTTATACCTTCATCAATGTGTTTCATTGGGGAATAACTGGTTTGGCAATGGCAAGTAATATCTCAGGATGGGTATTTTCTGGTGCATTGTTAATTTATACCATTGGTTGGTGTAAAGAAGGATGGAATGGATTCTCTTGGATGGCTTTTAGGGAATTGTGGGAATTTATTAAACTAAGTATTGGTTCATGTGTAATGATCTGCTTAGAACAATGGTATTCTGCTTGCATTATGCTTCTTGCTGGTCATCTTCATAATCCAGTCATTGATGTTGGCTCCTATTCTATTTGGTAAGTATATTATAATAATCAATTTTGTTTTAAGCATGGTGACTATAAAGTTCAAATCTCGAGAATTTGTGTTATGTTCCTTTGTCTTGGATTATTTTGACACAGTTTTAGACGCGATAGACGCTTTCTTTCGACCTATAGTGAAGATAGAAGCGGACTCGTTCTTGCCCGAGCCTCTTCTTAAATTCACAACTACTTTTTTAATAATAATTATTGATGATTTTATTGTCAATCTAAAATATATTTAAATAGGCTTACAATAAAAGAAAAGTCCTAACTAAATTAGGTTAATAACTACCTTTTTCAATAATTACTATCATTTAAATTTAAATAATAATAATTCCATTGAATAGGTAATTTTGTTCCAACCTAAAACTTATCCTAAGAATATTGAAATTCAAATTTAAAAATACTAACGTATTAAAAATAAATAAAATAATAAATCTTAATAAACATAATTAAGATTTGACACCACATCTTTATCTAAAAGACTTGTGAATTTAGATTACGATATCGTGTCAATGTCTCTTAGAATTTTCAGTGTTTAGTTCTTTGTTGCTCTCGACACTTCTTTAAACCATTTAACAATAGTTTTGAATAAAAATGTAGTGTCAACGTGATTTAAAGTAAAAAAACAATGATAAAAAATAAATGTGGTATATTTGCAAAATTTAGAAGCAAAGAGTAATATAAATATTGTGACCATCAAAATATTTATATATTTTTATGAGCTATTGATACTTATAAACTGTCTTTGTTTCTTGGTTTTCAATTCATATTTTTATTTTGTATTTGTAGCCTTAATATTCAGGGTTGGCACACGATGTTGCTTCTTGGAGTAAGTATAGCAGTAAGGTGAGTGACTATAAACTAAATTTATTGTAGTAGAACTTCTAGTAAAATCTATTGAAAGTCGATATCTTTTTTAAGGGCGTGTAAAGCAGATTACTGAATAAGATTTATAATCTGTCACGCTAACAATCTACACAGAGTTTTTAAAAATTTGAAACGACACTTATGAAAGTATTTTATATTTTTTTTCCATGTATTTTTTCAATGTTCTCACTAATTATTGATTGATTCTCATGCTTTGCAAGTGTTCGTGTGTCCAATTCACTTGGCATGTCGCATCCAAGAGAAGCCAAATACTCTTTCTTGGTGACAATGTTTCAGTCTCTTCTCCTTGGAATCATTTTCATGACTGTGATTTTTTTGAGTAAAGACAAATTTCCTTTGATCTTTACCAAGAGTGAGGATATGATACATGGTGCTAGTGAATTAGCATACCTTCTAGGTATAAGCATGATTCTCAACACTGTTTCACAAGTTATATCAGGTGATTAATTTTTTTGTGAATAGAAAAAGTTACTACATTTTAACAGCTTCTAATAATTTTGAGGAGATTTTATATAGGTGTGGTAATTGGATGTGGATGGCAAGTTATGGTTGGTTACATAAACTTGGCATGTTATTACATTGTTGGACTCCCTATTGGAATATTTCTTGGCTTCCACCAGCATTTAGGAGTCAAGGTATAACACTATTCTTGTTTTAGAAAATCTATCTTCTCTAAATCATCAATAAACTTATTTATTATATGATTTGAATGAATATTTGTGGCATAGGGTCTATGGGAAGGCACAATGTGTGGCATTACTCTTCAGATTTTAGTCCTCATGGTCATTATTTATAGGACCAACT